CTCTAACGTGATCATAACTGCACCAAGCATCACACGTGGCAATGAAGTTCTCAAAATTAATTTGAGCTACATCTATTTTTAACCTACCCAGTCACGAATTTCAGAAGAGGTATTGTAGCAAAAATGTTATGATTGCCCAAACGCAACATCGTGAGATTATACCCAAAAAATAGAGCATGACATTTGTTAGAAATTCTAATTGGAATGTTCCCAATTTTCAGATGGTCGTTTCGAATAACCAACTACCAAAAAAAACAATGATGCAAACGGTTAGTATGCCTATTGCCTAAGGCACTGAAATCATAAAGATAAAGCGAAACGAATCAACAGCGATATGTAAAATATGCTAGTTCGACACTCTCGCCCATGCCAATGCCAAATAACAAGAATTGTTCATCGTTTGTAGAAAAAGAGCCATGAAATTTATTAAATATTAAGTCGAGCATTTTATATCGATCCATGCTTTGTCGTGCCTCGAATGTTTTGGGGACAATTTTTTTTTCCAAATCCAACAATGCAAAGGCTGCACTCATCGGTTGAAATTGCATATCAGACAAAAGAGCTTGAATTCTCTCAAACAAAAAAACATAAATTTACTAGCTTGGTGGCCGACTATTGTGACTTATGAGAAGCGGTAACACCATAATATATAAGCTTAAGGTAAGATCGCGAGCGATTTGATTCCACTAAGTCGCCAAAAAATCAGAAGGTTGACTCATCATGTATGAATTATTAGAAAGGAAAGCACGCTCCCAGTTGTGTGGGTGTTGATATTTTTACCAATCATACCTACTTCAAATGCATGTCACTACAGCATCAGTCGAAAACAAGATCTCATTCTTCGTTCAGTCTTTGATTTCACGAATTAAAAAACTGAGCACTTAAAACCGATGAGCTAATGCTTTATGTCTGATACCCATTTCAAACTGACATCACCTTGCTAGATATGTGCCATTTTAAGGCCATCATGCCAGCTTTTTCTGTGACAAAACGCTGTTTTCCTGCAGGACAGCCTCAATGCTCGCACATTTTATGCTAATGACATCGATAAGTGCAGTGCCGGCGCTGAGTAAAGAGCCATTTTAGCTCCCTAACAGCGATGTCCGCTGGCGGCCCCACCCACCGCCCCCGAATGAGGACTGTGTTGTCGGTTACCCGTGTGGCGTGTCGGGGGACCATAAAGGGCCCAGTTCTCCCGGCGCCGACTGAGCGCAGAACAATGAACCCGCTGGCCGCCGGTTCCGATCGCGATTGATTACGGGCGGAGCGCGGATCCAGAGGCCATTGTGACCGGTTACCGGCGCCGATCCATCAGCCGGCAGGGTCACCGGTCACCGGAGACGGAACCGGGCCGAAACAAATGGCAGGTAGGTCACTCAAGGCTAGCCACACAGGGCGCCAGGGCCGGGTAGAACAGTGTTTGTCTATCTTATACCTACGAACGAATTGGTAAAGCATTGTCAACACAGCACTTATTTTCAGCAATATCGATACCGTAAAACATTTCAAGAGACATGTCCTGGTTATGCAAAATACACACGTCATCCTTTATACAGTCACTATTCAAAGTCCTGGGTAACATTTCCCAGAACTGTATCCATTGTCCAATCTCCATTGGCCGCCACGGCGCAGGTCGGCGCGGCGGGCGCGACGGAACACCGCTCCTATCCAAATGTATCAGTTTAAACCGTTGTCCGTCAGTATTGAGTGACTCCAGCACTAGCAAACACGTCCCAGAACAGTCGAGAACAGCCTGCATGGCATCGTACGTCCCAGCGCGGGCTCAGCATGGCTCAGCGCGGCTGGGTACCGCACGGCGCTGCGCCGCGTGCGCCGAGATCGTTAGGCCCCGCCTAGCTCGTGGGGGGCGTGAGAAAGGGTCGCGATACAATCTCACGGCGCCGGAACTGATGGTCCTGCCACGACGCCGACGGTAGCAGTCAGTCGACCCGTGTCCTCGGGACAGGCAAAAGGTCATTAGCAGGGACTGGAGCAGAAGGAGAGGGTGATTTCCAATCTGTGTTTGAATCTCAGCATTCCTCCGGATTATTGGAATGTAACTAGACACCCAAGGGCGAAAACTCAATCTTGTTTTCTGGCTCTTCGGAAACAAACATGATAGAAAGGCATGCTGTGTGATCCTAATTCATGGAATGACCAGACAGAGAAAGTCCTTATCATGGCAGGCAATTTGGAGACAGCAAATTGATTACAACTAAAACGTTTTGTATTGTAGTGGACCAGTGGCGGATCCAGGGCGGGGGGGGGGGCAAAATGGGCATTTGCCCCCCCCCCCCAAACGGCATGATTTTAACATTACGCCTATGGACGATGCATGGAAAGAATGGATAAATTTTTATGGTTTGCCCCCCCCCCCCAAACCTCTGAGCTGGATCCGCCTCTGTAGTGGACTAATGAACACCTGAACAGTGAGCAGACAGCTGTGCATTGGTCGAAAACAAAGCTAGTCGACCACAAGAACATGGAATTAAGCACACCGCGAGCTAATGAAGAATCGCTACTGGTCACGACACACGTTCAATCTCCCGCCGGAGCTATATTACACCGTCGCGACCCCAACCGTGACAGGAAAATCACGACTTAATTAGACAGCTTCCACCGATAGAAATTATAGCCTAATTTAACCTGTTGGGGTGTTCCGTTAGCCATTGAATTGTAGCCTGTAAACACTACATTGCATTGGAGCATATTACCACAAACGCTCATTTGATCCATGCGCACAATTTCATCTTCAAGACCACAAGTGTTTGCCACAAGAGGAGTGACTCTTTAGAGCGCAAAAGCATTCAGTGCCTGGCTAAATCCTTTCTATGCCCTTTATAAGAATGTTCCTCAGTGCCCACATGCATGTAGATAAACGCTGAGTAAGCAACTGGAGCTGCACGATGGTCCGCACCCCGCGTTTGTACAGACTTCTGAATTTGGTGATACGACCACGCCTCTTCCTGAACGTGACAGAGCTGTGTGACAGTGCACTGCAGACACCTGGCCAGCTGGCCAGCTGGTCGACCACTCCCTCGGATACCATAATGCGGTAGGACAACAATGTCAGCAGTCCCTTCGATAGCATTACTGACCTCAGCCGAGTCTGACAGCCACAACGTCACCGACAGTGTTACCAGGCGGGCCGATAAAGCTTTACTGACACGGCCCACCCAAAACAGCCCTGATTACCGACACGCTCCTCACGACCCAAAACTGACACCGACGCAGCCCAACCAGTGCTCGTATACGGAAGGCCAGGCTTCAGCCGTATGAAAAGACAAACTCGATTAGGCATAAGCTCAGAACAGGTCGTCGCAGTAAGAAGAACCAACTAATGCGATGCAATTTGTTACCGTTGCACGTTTTTGCAGCATTATTTCTTTCTCAGTAAGTTTCGCGTTTCAGGCAGCGTTTTTGTGCGGGGAGGGAAGTTCATGGCTCCGATAGTATGATAATCTCCCTTTGGCGGTGCAAAAGTGCGCTGCTTTCGGTTAGTGGCCTTGCTTTTCACCAACACTTTTGCAGATGTTGTTTCAACTCCCTTCGATAACCACCCTCAATATAGAAAGCACGACTTTAAAAAACGGCTTAGCGCCGTAATTGCCCTATATCTAGCTGCCAAATTCGTCACCAGCTCTTTTCTTCTACCCGGTAGGATTATAGGCGCCCTGATATAGCTACAGGATGATGTCAGTGGTCACCCGAGCGAGTGGGGTGAGCCGACTGCTTGAAGGAGTGGTTTGCGGGTTGGCTGGAGGAGTATCTGGGGGTAACACTCACTGACTATTCAGCTGGTTGGAGGAGTGATTGTTGGATGAGTGACCCCAGCTCAAGCTCAAGCCACAGTGTACTGTGGAGTGTCTGCCTACGTCAATACATACATACATACATACATATACATGCATACATATATCCCTAGAACGCCTAGGGGGGGGGGTTGTATCAACCCCCCCCCCTGAGGTTTTTTCGAAGTGCACGCTAAACGGCTTGTCGTAGCGGGCTGAAATTTTCAATACCCTCTGGGGCAACCTTTGCGCATCTTTTGCCGAAAAAAAATTGATCGGGTCATGTCAGGTCACGGAGTTATGACGTCATAAGAGGTACAGCCTCCGGCCGGATTTTCACAAACTGAGTGCCAACGCCCGAGGTTTCCTGCCGGTGGTACAAACATCGGTTGATGGATCGTGATGAAACTTCCCATGCATGTTGGGGCAAGTATTGGCTATCATATGGTATAAGAAACTTGACCGGGTCAGGTCAGGTCACGGAGCTATGACGTCACAAGGGGAACAGCGTCCGGTACTATTTTTGAAAAGCGCCCGAACCACTATTTTGCTAATTCTTGTCACCTCAATGGGAATATGCAGCAATATTAGCTTCTATAGGGAGCAAATGGACCTCCCAAATCCAAAAATACAATAAGATTTCAAAAATTTAAATTTTGATTTTTCGAATTTCTGCCGCCGACTGTGACCTTGCCAACTTCCGGCGCTCCCAACGCGCCATTTTTAGAGCTAGGGAAACGAAATACATACCAAACGATAGAGAATTGATCAAGAAACACGATAGTGAAGGTTTCAAGTCGATATCTCCCACCGTTTTGCCGCAATCGCCGCCGAAAGCTGAAAAAAGTCTATTTTTCCGAAAATTTGACCTTTGACCGGTCAAAAGTAGGTCAAATGTTGACCTAGGACCAAAAAATATACCACCAATCGCGAGATCTCGTTGAGAGCAATCCGTTGGTTTTTTCCGCTAAGCTCTACGACCTTCCGTTTCGAAACGCCAGGGGGGGGGGGTCGTAACAACCCCCCCCCCCCCCTGGTCGTTCGTGTTATGAGAAATGGCCTGGTCGTGCGAGGGATATATACAAGTGGGTAGCAGAAGAGTGCATCTCTCATCCGCTGGTCCGCAGTTGGAAAACTGGGAGTTAACACTTGCCGGCTGGTTGGCGGAAGGACGTTTTACACCCGATACCCGCTTTTGGAGTGACTTACCGGCTGGTTGGAGGAGTGGAGGAACCGCAGGCCGAAGTAGGCCGTCTCCAGCAGGTTCAGGTGACGAAACACATTATCCAGCAGCTCCTGGCCGAGCGTCGTGTCCTGAAACAGAACAACAAATGTCAGCAAAAGGTCGGGATCAAAAGAATAATGGGGTAACGCTATCTGTTAAATGTTGGCAAGTTATGCTTAAGTAAAGCGCAATAACCGGACGTGGAGGGAGGCATGAGAAAACAGCGTTAGGAAGTGACTAAATGTCTGAAGCGGTAAAATGTTAGCAGCCGGTGTTCCGTCCGGCCGTTCCGATGTGCCAGAGTGTGGATATTTCCCGTATGTCGACGTTTCCGTATCCGGTCCCCAACTATGAGAAAGTGTATGGCACCTATGTGAGACAGCCCCGCCGGCTCGGTGAGAGCCATCAGCGGTGAGAGTTTCCAGTGTCAGATAGTATCTTTAGCCATCTGCGATCAGTCGATGAGCACGATTTGTGACCCGATGATCTTGTCTGACTGCTCACTCTCCCGTACCTACTACACACCGATCCGGTATCGACCCAATGCCGCAACACCGGGCCGGCTGGTCGCAAGGCAGCGCTGCTACGGCCCGGGCAACATCCCCACAAATCAACCCCCACAAATCTGCAAGTCCGACTGATGGTCGGTTAACTACTTAGCAGCAATCATAGCCGGCCATTCAGCGGTGACTACAGGTGACTGGACCGTGCAGAGCTGCAGGATGAAATCGGTGTCATCCAGCGGGTGGTAAACGGTCCCTCCAGCGCAGTCTCTCGCCTTCCGAGCGCCGTCGCTCGCCGCTGGAGCGCAGTCGTTGACGCTTGGCTGCTGTCTCTCGCCTCTCGGGCGCCGTCTCTCGGTCCTCGATCGCCACTGCTCGCCACTCGAGCTACCTTACTCGGCGCTCGAATGTAGTCTCTCCCGCTCAGCCCGGTCCGATAGCTCCATCAGCTCGCTGTGTGGCCGGCGGTGAGTGCAGATCGCTGACCCGACCGGTTCCGGCGATCTCCGGTCACGAGCCAAGTCCGCAGCTCGGGCAGACCTAATGTGGGGTCCGTGGCCCAGCCCGTGACTCGCTCACGTTATGTCCATACGGTAAACGGAGTCGGTGCAGAAGACATGATATCACGAAACTGGGCCGGGAGAGCCTGAAGCTCTTCTTTGGCGTTTTGAACACCGTCAGTCTATGGATCGCGTAAAGATGTTTTCAATAAACACTTGGAATTGCTTTTCATGAGGCAAACTTTTCATTGTTAATCCTTCTCTTGACTCCTTCCCTGTCTCGCACGCTTGATGTTACTAATTCATTACCCGCGAGCTAAAAGATCCAAAGACCCAAGCGTCTTGAACCCATTGTCCTCCAAGCAGCTCATACGCTCTGCACAGTTTGCAGTGTGCATACTGCCCCCCTCCCCCCCCCCCATCACGTCCTGTGCTGTCGTATCCGACAGACATCGCCTGAAGAAGCGACTAACAGTTGGATCTCTACGCAGCTGTAGAACCATTACCGCCCGTCACACGATCAGCCTGTCCGTCTGTCAAACCGCGACGGTTCCCGCGGACGCCGATCGACCGCGCTGCCAAGATGTTCCATCTGAGTCTGAACATTGTCAGATTTCGCACAATCATGTTACATCCAGGTGGATGTGGGAAAGACGAAAACGTGTAAAATGGAATGAATCGAGAAGACGTTATTTCTCATAACATCTGAACCTGAACCTGGACCTTGTTTTGATTCGTCTCAGCCAGCCCGGCTTCAAATCGTGACAGGAAACGTTATCAAAATTCGCCTTAGTTATGAAGGTGGTGGTGTGATGACTGCAGTGCTGACGAAGGAGCGGAGCTGTAACCGCGGCCGGTGCGCAGCGAGGGCGGTGGGTGAGCGGCCACCATACATCAGCGGCCTGCCGACGCCGCGTGCCGCCCTGTCGGCCGCCGCGAGGGGGCGGCGCCCGGTGAGCTCCATGTCGAATGGCAGGGTCGCCGCAGGAGATTAGCATCTACCTGGCCGGAATTCAGGGTCGGCGCGGCCCCACAGACGGACAAATAACACCCACAGCGCCGGTGCCGAGCCGCACATCGCGGATTGAACGGGCGCCCGGCCAGCAGACAAAGGAGGCGCGTCATTTCAGCTCGGCACTTCAGAGACAGGGCGGCGATTATTTTGGGATCAACTCTGTAGCGGAGCTGCTGGAGCGACCTTCTCAGCCGACCTCGTCGGTCATCCAGGGTCATGGCCCCGCGCGTGATACTAGAAAACATCGTAAATAGATAAATCTGTTTACGTTTCAGGCTCAGTAGCTTTCACCGATCTTTTACAACACGTCTTTCGAGAAGACGGATCGGGGGGAATAATCAAGACGTTTAGCTCCGGATTGGATTGCTCCGTCAGTCACCCGCCGAGATGTTCAGAAATCCCATCAATATCAGAGGCGAGGTCGTATATCCAGGGCACCGCGTGACGTCACACTGGCCGACCTTCCCTCCCTCTTCAGCAAGTGCCCCTCTCCCCACCACCTCACCTGCACAGCGAACTCACGTGAGCGCCGCTCCGCCCCGGGACAGCCGTTTACCAAGAGCCATCGGACGGTAGCAGGTCCAGCTCTCAACAGCCGGCTTTCAGCACCTGGTTTGCATCGACAATCAGATTAGCTGTCTCTACTCTGCCGGCTGGACTGTCCAATGAGCAGTTCCTGGGAACGGCGGGCGCAATTTATGCCCGCCATCGAGGTAGTCTCGATATACAGAGCCGGTTCGGGGTATTCCATTTGAACCTGCACCAATAGAGACAGCACTGGCGCATGACCCTCCTGAGACCAGCGTGGCTTAGTTCGAACCAACGATTAATGGTGTGATCCGGACCTTGCCCTCACACCGGGTCTCTCTCTCTCTCTCTCTCTCTCTCTCTCTCTCTCTCTCTCTCTCTCTCTCTCTCTCTCTCTCTCTCTCTCTCTCTCTCTCTCTCTCTCTCTCCCTCTCTCTCTCTCTCTCTCTCTCTCCCTCTCTCTCTCTCTCTCTCTCTCTCTCTCTCTCTCTCTCTTATCTCTCTCTCTCTCTCTCTCTCTCTCTCTCTCTCTCTCTCTCTCTCTCTCTCTCTCTCTCTCTCTCTCTCTCTCTCTCTCTCTCTTGTCTCTCTCCGACTCTCTCTCTCTCTCTCTCTCTCTCTCTCTCTCTCTCTCTCTCTCTCTCTCTCTCTCTCTCTCTCTCTCTCTCTCTGCCTCTCTCCCTTGAGGCACCTAAGCTGCTCGCCATTTTGACAGCCGAGGTAGCCGCCCTGACGCCCTGGGTGAGACACGTGGGTGCCGCCCTCCCCATCGGCAGAGCTCCTCTGTCCCGACCCGCCTCCTCTCATCTCTCCATCTGTGTGCCATGCTGATGTCGGCGGGAGGCGCATCTATCCAGCAGGGTCACTGCCGGAGGCCGCGCGCGCCGGGTCAGCCAGCTAGATGGGGTCAGCAGGTCGTGGACACCATAGCGTCCCGCCGAGATCAGCACGTAGCCCGTATGGAGGAGACGGCTGGCGTGGGTACGGGCGATTAGACAGCCCGCTGCCCGGCCGACCGCCATGGAAATGGTCCGACGTAAGTACCGACCGTGTCTGCAATGTCAGTGAACTCGGATAATGCGCAGCGAGAGAGATGAGCTTGCTGAAAAGCGCCACTGATTAGCAGCTTTGCTGCCGAAATCAAGGCGCTTTTTACAACTGAAAGGAATCGCTTTATTGGTTTTATCAGCCATAATTCTGATATGTATATTTTTGTATAAATGTATACACGAATAAATGTTATTTCATAAATGTTTAAATGTTGTCCAGTGTTCGCTCTGAGGTGGCGACGGCGGCATGGCGGCATGGCGCGGCGGCGGCAGCCGGGTGGCAGTGGCAGAGGCGGCGGTGGCGGCGGAGGCTGGCAGAGTCCAGAGGTCGACCCACCTGCGGCGGAACCGTTATCGCTTCTCTGCGCTCCACTCAGGCGGACAGAGCTGCCCAGTGCTGCAGCCGTCACCCGTGCCCTCTCCTCGCCTTCCTCCCTCCCTAAACCTTCTCTGCCCTTAACTAGAGGTGGCAAAAGATGAAAATTTTGGGAACCAGACTCGAACCAGACCCGGCTGGATATTTCTGGAACCAGTCGGACCCGGTCTTAGTTGGAATCGGAACCAGTTGGACCCGTTCCCCAAAAGTCAATTAATACAAACTACTTGTAGGTATCATTAGTTGCATCATGTAAAACAGCCTATTTCCCACTGGGAATACTCATGAGCTACTGTGTGCAAAGAAACAATCACTTCATTCACTTCATATTTTGCAATAATGTGTAGTGCGCAAGATGTATAGTTATGGTAGGACCCGGTTGGACCTGTCAGAAAATTTCCAGGAACCGGTCTGGACCGATATGGGTCCAGGCTGGTTCTTTGGACCGGGTCCTCGGGTCCACATTTTGCCACCTCTACCCTTAACTCCTCTCCTCCCCTCTCCTCTCCTCTCCTCTCCTCTCCTCTCCTCTCCCAAACCTCTTATCTCTCTCACCTCCCTTACCTCCCCTCCCCTCTCTTCCCCTCTCTCCTCCCCACCGCTTCTGGAGATGGCATCTCCCTCTGGCATCTCCCACCTCCTCTCCGAGTTGCGCTTGCGCAGCACGAGTGTCGATCAGACCATCTTACGGCGTGAGCAGAGACGCCCGTTGCTGCTACCGCGCTGCTATAAATGCCGCCGGTATTCGCCAAGGGCAGACCAGCGGGCCAGGCCGACCTGCATGAGGGTAGGGGCGTGCAATGCGCGTGGAGGCAGCGTTGGCACGCACCCTGCAGGGGAGGCGTGCGGCATGCACCCTGCGGAAGGGAAGCAGAACGAGCTGCCGGGAATGTGGGCCGTTCTGCGGGTTGTTCTTTTGGTCTGTCTGTGGGCCATCCGTAGCCAATGTGTGGTCACGTCATGACCAATACTCGTCCACCGCCCCCGGGCGACACAGCCGATCCAAGACGCGTGCTCCCTGCTGGACAAGTGCGCCAAATTGGCCGCCCCGCACCAGTAATTGTCCAAACGGGAAGCACCTGTTTCGGCTTCTGGATGGCCTTTGTCCGCTCGCGGCC